TTTTTTTTTTTTTTTTTTGTGAGGGGTTTTTTTTTTTTTTTTTTTTCTTTTTTGGCTACAGGACATGTGTGCTCACCAGAAAGACAAAGAGACAGAAAGACGAAAGTGAGGAATCACCCCTCAGGGGGGATGGCCATGCCGCAATCCCTTCTCCTCCATTCTCCTCTCGGGATCTTGGGCACGTACGCACACGCACCCGGCATGAGTGTAAGCCACCAGGTCCAGGACTCGAACTGCGGTCCACTCATGGGAGTCCAGTGAAAGCCATTAAGCCAACTGCTGGTCCCATGGGACTCAGCCTCCTTTTCCACCATGCTACAGGCTGACCCAGTATGAGTTTATTCTGGTGCACACAATTTTAAAATTTTCTCAGAATAGGAATTCCTGTGAACCTTTGGAAAGCCTCCTGCATACTTCACTACCGTACTGGTGAGGTCCCTGATCACCAGAACAGAGGACTAACTCTAGTTCAGAACTGCAAACAGCTTAGGTATGAGTGAGTTCACTGCAGGACGCCCTCTGAGGGGAGTGAAGGAGAAAACATGACGCAGAGGCCTGGATTGGGCCCTCAGGGAGTCCGTAGTCCAATAAAGCAGACAGACACACACATGCGCGCGAAACCCCACAATAAAAGGAAGAAAGGTAAATGCTCCAGAGAGCTCGGTGAGAGTAAGAGGGGAGCAGAGCAGAAATCCTGAAGAAGGCACAGAGAGGGAAGTATTCTTGGTAAACATCAGCAAGAAAGCATGGTGTAAAGAAGACACTTGGCTTCAACAAAAAGGCACAGCATATATTTTAAAAGAAAGAAAAAGATACAGATAAAAGGTCAACAGCAGGCAGAAAGAGGAGCAAGGGTACCTTCTGGCAGATTAAAAAAAAAAAAAAGCCATCAAGCCATGACAAATGGAGGAACCTTAAATGCTCATTTAAAATAAATAAAGCCTGTTTAAAAAGGCTATATAATGTATGATGCCAAGTACATCCTGGGAAAGGCAAAATTATGGAGACCGTAAGCAGCTGGCATGGTGGTTAAGGCGCTGGACTCCCACGTGGCCAACCGTGATATGAGTACTGGCCCTGGTGGCTTGAAAATCACTCTAGAGGGGCAGGCAGGTAGCATGGTGTTAAGGGGCTGCACTCCCACATGGCCAACCTCCGTCAGAGTCCTAGACCTGGTGGCTTGCTTTCTCTCTCTCTCATCAAACTAAAAAAAGATTAATTAATAAAATAGTTCTGAAGGAGGAGAAGGAAGAAGGGCAAAGAAGGAAGGAGGAAGAGGAGGAGGGTGGAATAGGAGGAAAAGGAGGAGGAAGGGAGGAGGAGGAAGAGGAGGCAGTGGCCATCCCCCAGGGGATGATTTCTCAGTTTCCCTCTTGCTGTCTCTCTTTGTGTCTCTCCAGAGAACTCACAGGCCCTTATGCCAAAAACCTAAAAAGAAAGATTAAAAAAAAAAAAAAAATCAGCGGTTGCCAGAGTTGAACAGGCAGAGTAGAGTATTTTAGAGCAGTGAAAATACACTGCACTGGGCCATCGTAGTGTGATGAAGGTGTTGGACTCCCATATCGCCAGCCGTGGTTCAAGTCCCAGACCTGGTGACTTGCTTACCCTCTTTTCACCCTCTGGTGAGCACACATGCCCTATAGAAAATTTAATAATAATAAAAATAAATAAACAAGAAAATACACTGTCTGATACTACAGTGAACATACGTCGTTGTACCTTTACCCAAACCTGTGGAAGGTACACCAGGAGTGGCCCTGAAGTAAAAGACGGCCTCGAGGTGATGCTGACAGTGGGGAGGCTGTGCATGGGTGTGGCTAGGGGGTGTACGGTGGAGAGACTGTGCCCACCCTAATGGAGCTTAGATTGTAGAATAATGAGTCACAATAAACAAGCGAAGTAGTTATATCTGGTGCTATAGGGAAAAGTGAAGCAAAGAAGGGGAGGACTGCTGAGGGGAAGGCAGTTTGCCCTGTTACAAGGGAACCACAGGCCAGCATGACTGTGATGAGGATGTGAGCCAGGTGTGTATCCAGATGAGCTCTCTGAGCAGAGGGAGCGGTCAGTGCAAAGGCCCTGAGCCAGCTTGGGGTGACTCAGCAGGCCTGGGAGGCTCATGTGCCCAGACTGGAGTGGGCATGGGGGGAGCAGAAGTTGAGTTTGGAGAGATGGTGCTAAGGTGTTTTGGGTCACTTGCTATTGAGAGGGCTTTGCATCATCCACCCTGCCTCCACGCCCGCTCTTGAGCAAGCTAAGGAGCCTTTCAAAGGTTTTAAGTAGAAAAATGACTTAATCACCCTGGCTAGTATGTTGAAAATTGACTAAAGGGGTGGGGTAGGACCCAGACTGGTTTCAGGCCCAGTTTCTATGCTGCGTAATGTGAATCTAGGGTCTGGATAGATGATAGTGATTTGGCCCCGCATGCTAACTGGTGTGAAGTGACCAGAGTTTGAAGACAGAGCTGATGGGATTTGCTGACTTACTCCGCGTAGCAGAAGAGCCAAGGCTTTTTGTTGTGAGCAACTGAAAGGGCACCATTGCCATTTAGCCAGGGATCACTGCAGGGGAGGCAGATTCTGTAAGAGAACATTCCAGGCTTCGGTTCTGAACTTTTAGAGTACTCAAGAGTTGGAACTTGGGAAATGACCTGAAAACTGGGTAAGTTCACTAAGAGTGAGTGCAGAGAGCAACGCTTAAGAATGGAGACCCGGTACACTGCAAGGCTGGGAAGAGGGAAAGAACTAGCTAAAGTTATGGAAGAAGTTTCCAGCCAGATAAAAGGAAAATCCAGAGTGTTGTGTTCTGGAAACCAAGTAAACAGTCTTTCAAGAAGAGTGAGAACAAGTGTCGGATGCTTTGGAAAGATCAGGTAGCTAAAGACCAAGAATTAACTAAGTCAGTCGGTTTGCCAGTGTGGAGACTGCTGGTGACCTTGACAAGAGCAGGTCTGACCGAGTGGCAAAGGGGAAAGCCTAACTGGAGTGGGTTCAGGTGAAGAGGGGAGGAGGAATGGGAAGGCAGACTTGAAATTTTGAATTTCACTGGTGAAATCAGCAGATGGTGTAATGGTTATGTTGCTGGACTCCCACATAGTTGACCATGGTTAGAGTCCTGGACCTGGCAGGTTAAAACTCATGTCAGGTGCATGTGCATGCCTGCCCCAAATCCCAAGAGAATGAAGGAGAAGGGATTGTGGTGTGGCCATCCCCTGTCACCTGCGGAGGACGGGGTGGGGGGGTGATTTCTTGCTTTTTGTTTCTCTGTCTGGCGAGCACACGCCCTATAGCAAAACATCTTTTTTCTTTTTCTTTTTTTTTTAAAGAAGTTTCACTGGAAAAGGAGGAGAGAAATGGGGCTGGCAGCTGAGGAGTGGTCAACCTCTTTTTCTTTTTTCAGTTTACTATAGGTGCATGTGCTCACCAGAGACAGAGAGAGAAGGGAAGTGAGAAATCACGCAGGGGAGAATGGCCATACCAGAATCCCTTCTTCTCCATTCTCTGTTGGGGGTTCTGGGTACACATGCACCCAGCATGATTTTCAAGTCACCAGTCTGAGACTCAAATCATGCAGTCAGTCATGTGGGACCCAGCTGCCTTAACCATTATGTCACCTGCTGGCCCAGTCAAATTTCTTAAGATGATACTAATTGTGGGACCAGCAGTTAGCGTAATGGCTATGTCGCTGGACTCCCATGTAGTCGACCGCGGTTCGTGTCCCGGACCCAGTGGCTTAGAACTCATGCCGGGCACGTGTGCGTGCGTGCCCAAGATCCCGAGAGGAGAATGGAGGAGAAGGGATTGTGGCATGGCCATTCCCCCTGGGGGGTTATTTCTCGCTTTCTGTCTCTCTGTCTCTGTCTGTCTGTCTGGCGAGCGCACGCGCCCTATCGCAAAAACCTCTCAAAAAAAAAAAAAGATGATATTAATTTTAACATGCTGGTGAAAGTGATGCAGGCAAGGAAGAGAACTGCTGACACCATATCCTTGAATAGGTAGGAAGGAGAGACTGAATGTCAAGAAGTGGAGCTGGCACCAGGCAGGAGGAGCAAGACGGTTCATTTACTAGAGAAGGATGAAGTCAGGTGGTGACAGTGAAGGGGATGAGCTGCTGCTTGTGGAAGTTGGCCTCTCTGTTTATCTGAAAGTTTTCTTTGGAAGGAATTACTCTGGATAAAAGCTGGTAGAACATTTATTTAATAGTTCCGAGAACATGAACATAAGGAGCTCAAGCAACCCCTCTCTATATAATGCTACAGTGAAGTAATCGGACATGAGCTTTTAGCTTAAGTCACTAAAAGACATGGCAGAAGGGAGTAGCCCCACTGGCTCTCACACACCACCTCTGACTCTGAGCCAGGCTCCTGGCCAACCAGTCTCCAAGGAACCAGGCGAGACACATGCAAGCTTCGTCTGCTTTATTTCACTACATTAAGTTAAGCAATAAGGCAAAACAGCAACCTTTCATGAAGATCAAGGAGTGCCAATCATTCCCAAGAAGGACCAAAACGGATGTTTCTTCACAAATATGCATGACGCTTAGCTCGCTATGTCTATAAGCACTTGAACAGAAGACGACTTTGGTAGGTGAATCAAATCACAAACCCATAACAACTTAGCCGTGTTTCCAAAACTGTAGTTTTAAGTGCTAACAACATCTAATTCTCCCGTGGTGGTGAACACTGACTAGCATTAAAAATCTTGCACTTGATCTAACATAAAGAAGACAACAAATAAAATTGCTAACTCACCAGCTGCAGGTGTACACACAGAATACCAGCTTACATTAAAACCTATCTTGAGGGAACATTAAAACAATGGCTCTGTTATTCTGCAAGTTAATTTGGCTTCTGAAGAAAACAAAAGTTGTATGATAAAAGTGTTTTAGTGTTTCCGTGTTCCATGGGAGTGACAAGACCCATCACTTCAACATTATTACTTTTGGGAACAAATTCCCACTACATGCTACCAATGCCAACACAACCATGTGCAGTGTGTGCAAGTGTGTAAACACAGGGAGCTACTCTCTATTTTGAGGCCCATTTCCTCCACTGGCAAATACAGAGCAGTGGTCTCACAGTGGGCTCGCTCTAGAAAATACTGACATAAAAACACACTTGACACTCTGTGGGGACACAACAAATTAAACTTTTTGTAGTCTGCAAATGCATAATTACCCATCCTCTTACCCCAACTAAGAGACTAATCCTTGTTTATTATCATCACAATATTACAGATGAGTATTTTTTTTTTCTTACACTGCATTTATATATTACTTTGTGGGAATATTGGCCTAACCTTGAGGGTACAATTTGGGGGCCAGCAGGTGCTGTAGTGGTTAAGGTGCTGGACTCACACATGACCAACTGCAATTTGAGTCCCAGACCCAGTGGCTGGATAATCACACCAGGAATGAGTGCATTTGTGTGCCCAAAATCCCAGAAGGGACCATGGTGTAGCCATCTCCCCTGCGGGGTGCTTTTTCTTTCTTTCCCTGTCTGTTGAGCACAAGAGCCCTATGCACCACCTACCCTCCCAAAAAAAGAGTATAACTTAGTGTCTTTCAAAAGGTTCCTAAATACTTTTATATTTCAAAAGGAACTGGTAAGGACTATGTCCTGTCTATATTCTAGATTATAAAATATCTTAATTTTAAACTAAAGACAAAATTAAAACCAAACACAGGGTAAACAGGAAACTCTTCTTTTCCTCAAAAGTCTATACTGGCCACTGACAATACTTTTACAGAAAACGTGATGCAGCTGGTAGTCTATTTTATGTCTTATTTTAGAAAACACAGATATTAAGATTAGCAACCCAGCTCCAGGATACCAAGTAAAACAGTCTACTGGTCAGCCAGCTTCTGGGCTACTTGCTGAACTATTCATGGTTTACAATCAAAATGGTCCTGACACACCATATAACAAAAATCTTAAAATCAGCAGGGGGAAAAGTTATTTCTGAATATCCAGTTTTGGATTCAAGAGGTTGTAACAGTTGATTTCCCCTTCAAATCAGTAGAAAGAACAGTTCAGATACGTTTAAAATCTAACCTTTAAAATGTCTGTATTCCAGAAGTGAACTTGTCCACTCTGGCTTCCTTTGGGCTTTTTCCAGGTCCCAAATACTCAGAACAATTTACTGAGTTAGAGGCAGAGCACAGAAGAGAGTAAAACAGAAAGACTGCCCCCCTGTGGCCACATTTTAAAATGAGTGGAACTTGCTACCCCCTTGCTTCTCAAATTCTTAAGTTCCAGATTCAACTGGAAGAACTTTTAAGAGCAACTGATAAATAAGTGTCCTGTATTCACTTAGTAGAACAGGATGAATTGAGAGTGCCTTAAGAATTTCATAGGTTTTCTCAATCACCACAAAACCAACTATGATGATTGTGTTTTTCTGAAAACGGAAATCTATGGGATTTCATGGGAGCCATTATGACAAATGAAGGGCTATGTTTCAGATTCTATTTAATGGAACAGAGGAAGCAGTAGGTACACCGAGACCAATGCTGGATCCTTAACAGCAGGTCCACCCCTGGGCTCTCATTTTAAGTTTCATCTGGGAGACTGTGATCCTCTGGGAGACCAGACTGAGAGGCAGTACGGTCAGTGTCTCAGGTGGTAAATCTGATGTCACTCCAAGAACAGCCATCCCCTTTACTGGGATGGAACTATGCTGCTTTGATTTTTTCAACGTGCAGGGCTCGGCGAGAGAGAGACAGACTCACTGGCATCGACGGAGGTGACAGTAAGAGGAACAGCAGTTACTCTGCGTTCCTCACGCCTGGCCTATGCTCCTACTCTCCGAGGAAGAGAATTCAGTAGTGCCGGGTACATAGTTACAAACAAGGCCTAATGAAGCAACGGCTTCCACATTTTAACTTGGTGACACTGTCCTTTTGGGTCTGCCCACTGGCAGAACCTTTTAAGGAAGAAGCGGGCCCAAGCTGAGTTCCACATGCTGGGTGAGCCAGATGACTTCTGTGCTCTGGTCACTTTCTTCGATGGGACGGATGGGAGCTGCCAGGTTTTTAAAATCATGCTTCATCTTGAAGCATACGGTCACTTCACCCTCCTCACGTTGTGGGGTAACTTTGATGAAAATACCCACTTTGTTGGCCTTTCTGAAGGCTATAATGCTGTGGAAGGAGATAAGGACAGTATTAGGTAAGGTCACAGGGCAGCCAGATTACTAAAACAAGGCATTGCACAGCACAAGAAGAAATCCCTGAGGGCAAGATCACCACCACCATTCCTTTCTCGGCAATGAAGACTTTCTCTACAAAATGTTGATCTCTTTTCTTCTGAAAATCTGATATAGGGCACATATACTCACCAGAGAGAAAGAAAGAGGGAACATGGTGGTTAAGGTGCTGGACTCAAGTTCTGAAAATCACTCCAGGGGGCCGGCAGGTGGTGTGGTGGTTAAAAGCACTGGACTCCTACATGGCTGACTACGGCTCAAGTCCTAGACCTGGTGGCTTGCTTTCTCACTTTCCCCCTCTCTCTGATCAAACAGAATAAAAATAATAGTAATATATAAAGTAAAATAATTCTTAAAAAGGCAGAAAATTTTAAAAAAAGAAAAAGAAAGAAGAAAGAAAGAAAATCACTCTGGGCATATGTGAGTGCATGCCCAAAAATCCCAAGAGGAGAATGGAGGAAAAGGGACTGAGGCATGGCCATCTCCCTGGAGGGTGACTTCTTACTTAACCTCACTGTTTCTCTCTCCAGTGAATGCATGAGACCTATGGCAAAAAAATGAAAAAAAAGGAAAAAAAAGAAAGCAACCCCCAGGGAGGATGGCCACACTACAATCCCTTCTCCTCCATTCTCTTAGAATTTTGGGCATGCACACATATGTGCCCAGCATGTTTTTCAAGCTGCAGGTCTGGGACTCAAACTGAGCAACTGGCATATGCGATACAGCCACCTTAATCAACATGCCACTGGCTGGCCCAATCTCTTTATTTTCTTAACACTACAAAAGTAAAATGCCGTTACTAAAAAAAAATTCAAATGGTCGAAAGTCGTATCTCATTCTTCCCTTCAGCACACAGAGGAAAAAAATGTAAACGCTTTGTTCTAAACCTACCAGGTATTTTTCTACGAGCTTATACTGTTATGCTTTTTAAACGAACGCACAGGAGACACACTGTTCTGTGACCTGATCCTAAAATCGCCAGAGTTCATGTGTGCTCACGTGAGGGAGAGGGAGGGGGAGAAAGCACCGTCCACTAGGTGTGGTCACGCCTCAGTTTTTCCACTTTCCCATCCTGTTGGGATTTCCATCCTGTACACATGCATATGCCTAGCATGTTTTTGAGGCCATCATGGCTAGGACCAAACTGCAGCTGGCCATATGGGAGGCATCCAGCTCCCCCAACTGTTAGGCTATGGGGCCAGCCCTGGCATTTCCTTTTCTCCACTGTCCATCACACACACAGTTCCCGACTGGTGCACACAGATCTCCATTCTCCATCATGTGTCTACCACGACTGGATACAATGAGGCCGCCGCCTATTTTCCCTGGATAATGTGCTCCACATATCCCTTTACATTTACTTTGTGCACATGGTGATTTCTTCGGATCACAGATTGAGGTCCGTGAGAAGATCTAGTAACTCAAAGCCTCAAGGGAACTTCTGGAACATCATAAATCAATATGTTTCTGTAAATAAGAAATTTTTAGCACAGCAAAGTCTCATTTGGCATTTTCATTTCAGTTTTCCCTCATTCACACCTGAAATCAGTGCTTTAATAACTTAGCTTCAGAAAGTAAAAGGGCCATGAAATACACAATTGTATTTACTATCCAAGTGATACTGTTACTCTAAGAAATTATTGCAGTTACATATTCACATAATATTAAATAGAACTAAGGTTCCAGAAATTTAAAGTTCTATAAAACACAACTGAAATATAATTCGGTTTTTATTAGTTTAACATATAATCAGACTGGAATTTGATATTTCAGATGATCTTTCTAGAAGTTTACCTTTGCTTAACAGATTTCCATACCTAATTAATGTAATTTAAGAATTTGCATACAGCAAGGATTTCAAAGAATGCATTTCATATTTTACTCACTCAGTCCATTTTATATTGTAGTAAGTAATCAAATAAGCAAAATTCAAACAACTAAAAACAGTCAAAAGACGAGTCTTTCTTTCTATATGTAACTTCCTAGGCAATCACTGATACCTGGGAAGCTTTCAAAAAAGCAGCTCAGATTTCTAGTCCCTAGCTAGACCTGCTGAAGAAATCTTCTGGGGGTGGGATCTCAAACACCACAGAACAAGAACACAGAACGAAACATCCGCCCTGGTGCTTTCTGAAGTTGACCCAAGTTTGGTAATCATTACACTAATCTCACCTGTGCCTTCACTTTGTATCTTTCCAACCCACTCCATGTTCTCTCTTCTGCTATCTTGCTGAGGAAGCTTTTTGGCCATTCTGTTAAAAAAAACTTAAAGCTTCCCCATGCCAATTTAGTAAGATGTTACTCTTTGGCTCCCAGCCCACCTCTCTGAATTATGCTTTGTGACAAAATTCTGCTAAACCCATTTCTGTTTTGCAGGCTGGCTCTGTCAGGGTTTATCCATAGGGAACACTACGAAGAGGCTAGAACCTAAGAAAGAAGAATCCTGATCTCCTTCTGGAGGAGTCCGACCCGAAGAGGCCCCAGGATCTGTCTGAGCCCCCAGACCTTTGAGCTCCGCTTCTGGTCAGATCAACACGTTGGCAAGGCTACTGTTGTGCACCCCCCGACCTTGGAACAAAGCTTGGGTCAGTTAGCATGTCAGCAAGGCTGCTTGCTATTTGCTCCAAAAAATTGAGGCAGCCTCACTGGGAAGCGACCCCCCTCTGACTCCCCAATTTACTACTATAAAAAAATTGCATAGCTCTCCTATACATCCTGAGTATATGATAAAATCTTCCAGAAAGTCCCCCAACCGACAGCTCCCCTTTGCTCTAATCACTTACTATTAATTACAATGCTTTATCTCCATAGTCACAATAGAGGGTGGGCTAAAGTTCTTTCTAGGCAAAAGTAATCTTGACCTTTAAAAAGCCCTTTAAAATACATCCTTTCTTTACCTAAAATAAGATTAGGCCAAAACTGGCCCAGGACACCTCTGCCCTCTCCAAGTAAAATA